AAATAGCTTTTGGATAGAAAAAAAAAAAGTTTAATCTACGAAGAAAAATGGTAATGGTTATGGAACTGTGTTGATGATGGTGGTAATTATGATCATGATTAATTAAACGTATTGTCATTATCGTATGATCATCATTATCAAAATGATGATGGTAAGACGACTGACGAAGATAATGTTAATTATTATGATATCTTTAATCTTCCCTTTTTTGTTATATTGTTCATTAGCATCATCATTTCAGTTGTTATTGCAGTAATAGCGATAATGATAAGAATGATAATGGCTATTACAATAGTTATTATTATCATTGTTATTATTATTATCATCATTATCATTATTATTATTATTATTATTATTATTATTATTATTATTATTATTATTATTATTATTGTTATTATTATTATTATTATTATTATTATTATTATGATTATTATTATTTTTATTATCACTATAATACGAATAACTATCATTATTACCATTATTGCTATCATCATTATCATTATTGTTATCATTACTATATATTATATTTTTTATTGTTATAATCATCATCACTTCATTATCATTATTTTTATCATCACTTCATTATTTTTATTATTGTTATTATTACTCTTAGCATTATCAATATAATTATCATTATTACTATTATCATTATCATTATCCTTATTATTATTATTATCATCATCATTATTGTTATCATTACTATTATCATCTGTAATATCTTTATGATGTCGTTTCTCATTATTGCGACTATTATATTTATTATTATCATTAAAGTCATTATTACTATTATTACCATCATTATTATCATCATTAATATCATTCTTGTTATTGTTATCATTGCCACTATTGTTATTATCCTTGTCATAATCATTATTACTATTATCGTTATTGCTGTCATGATTATTGTTCTTACCATCATCCTTATCATTATTACTGTTTTCATTATCATCAACATCATTATTATCATTTTCATTATCATTATATCGTACTTCTGCTTATGTTTCGTTCGCCCATCCGTTCGCTTGCTAGGCTTTCATTATTTGCCTGAAGTCGTATTCCATGCCATTGTGCATTTCAAGTCTCTTCTTGTTTTGATGTCAGCTGAGCATCTTGTGACTGGAGTCATGTGACTACGGGCTTGAAGTCAATCCACTTTATTATAAAATATGATAATTGACAATATGAATACACACACACACTCATACGCGCGCTATATTGCGAATCTATGAGAATAATCAAACTTTATTATTATCGTTATTGATGGTATTACAGCTGTTGTTGTTATCGTTATTCTTGTTACTATTATTATTGATATTACTGCTACCATTATTATCATTATCACCTTTATCGTTATTATTATTCGAGGCAAGTACACCGCACTGAAGTAGTTAGACCGTCAGTTTATGCATATTTACACGAGGTTTAGAAGGAAGGTAGGAAGGGAAGGGGAAAGAAAGAGGGAGGAAGAAGACTTAGAGGGAGAAAAGGAGGAGGAGTTATAAAGAGAAGAGGAAGATAGGGAAGTGGAAACGGAGTGGAGAGGGAGGGGGCAGTGGGAAGGAAGATGGGAAGAGAAAGAGAGAGAGAGAATAGGCTTAGAGGAAATGAGAGAGAGGGAAGGGGATCAGGGAGAAGGAAGAAAGAGAGGGGGGGAGATATACGGATTAGAGTGGGAGGAGAGGAGCGAAGAGAGGGAATAGGAAAGTGAACGAGGAGGCGATAGGCAGAAGGAGGAGGGGGGGAGAGGAAAATGGAATAATAAGGATAATGATGATAATAATAAGAATCATCATCATCATTATCATCATTACTCATATTGTTATGATTATTATCATTATTCTTATTCTTATTCATCTTATTATATAATTATATTATTATATGATATAAACACAAACACAACAATGATAGTAGAAATAACAACTGATTTAAAAAAAAAGAAGATAAGTAAGTGTTATTTGTTTACTTATCTTGAATCAAAAAAAAAAAAAAAATCTTTTTATCATTATTATCACTATCATTAAAAACAAAAATGCTACCAGAACTACAAAATAAAATGTCCTTGAAAAAAGTAAAAAAAAATAACATGACCTCCGTCTTGTTATTATTTTCTAAGGTTATAAATACCGTCATCTTTGCTTTCTCATCCTAAGATATCATGTCTTGTCCTTCAAAAGCGATAACTGCCATCTCAGCGGCTGGGTTTGTTTAAGTAAAACGCCAGATGTAAAGATTAAAATGCTACGCGCACGTGTATGCTTACACATACAAACGAACAAACATACAAATATATATATATATATATATATATATATATATATATATATATATATATATATATACACACACACACACACACACACACACACACACACACACACACACACACACACACACATATATATATATATATATATACATATATATATATATATATATATATATATGTATACACACACACACACACACACACACACACACACACATATATATATAAGTCTATCTATCTATCTTTCTATCTTTCTATCTATCTATCTATTTGTGTATATGTTGTGTGTGTGTGTGTGTGTGTGTGTTGTGTGTGTGTGTGTGTGTGTGTGTGTGTGTGTGTGTGTGTGTGTGTGTGTTTGATTATACATATATGTATATATGTGTGTGTGTGAGTGTAATGTCTCTTATACAAGCGAACAGGGTAATGAATACTTATAAAAACAAATTTCACTGTAAAGACAAAATAAAAAGGAAAAAGTAGACTAAAAAAAAATAAAAAAAATGAAGCAATCACGGATATTAAGATGAACAAAAGAAGGAAAAAAAAGGATCGAAATTACAATCACTTCAAATACATATCAAAACTATAAAAGATATATTGATATTGAAATACTAATGATATGCATATATATATAAAGTCATATAAAACAATATAAAAGATGTAATAGATATAAGGAAATTTATAAGATATAAAAGTACATAAAACTATATGAAATGCTACAAAAAACACAAAAAAAAATCGTCAAAAAAACTAAAATATACGAGATACATAAAAAGATACGAAGACAACCAAACTTAAAACGATAACCATTTCTATTAAACAGACATTAAGTACCAGAAACTGTGATAAACGGACATGAAACACGACGAAATACGATAAACAGAGACACGAAGAGACGCTAAACAGTAATAATCCCAAATAAAACGAATAGAAAAAGAAATAAAACCAAGTTATACCTAAAAGTTACAGAGCCCTTCTATCAGTGCCGCCCTTGCTTGCTTCCGGTCTTTAGATTAGATTAAGGGTGTCCTGTTTGTCCAGGTTACAGGTGTGTGGTCATCAGGAGGGTGTTTTGGTGCGTTTTGGTATTTTGGTATGTTGGTATGTGGTGTGGTATGTTGGTATGTAGTGTGGTATGTTGGTATGTAGTGTGGTATGTTGGTATGTGATGTGGTATGTTGGTATGTGGTGTGGTATGTTGGTATGTGGTGTGGTATGTTGGTATGTGGTGTGGTATGTTGGTATGTGGTGTGGTATGTTGGTATGTAGTGTGGTATGTTGGTATGTGGTGTGGTATGTTGGTATGTGGTGTGGTATGTTGGTATGTGGTGTGGTATGTTGGTATGTGGTGTGGTATGTTGGTATGTGGTGTGGTATGTTGGTATGTGGTGTGGTATGTTGGTATGTGGTGTGGTATGTTGGTATGTGGTGTTGGTATGTGACGTTTTGATATGTTGGTATGTTGTATGTTGGAATGTGGTAATGTTAGTATGTGACGTTTTGGTGTGTATGTGGTGTGGTATGTTGGTATATGGTGTGGCATACTGACTTGTTGCGTGGTATATTGGTATGGTTTATCTATGTATCTGCTGGATGTAGCCATATGATTTAACTGTGGTAAGATGGTATGGGTACTTTGTGACGCTAAATGGTGTTGCAGTGGCATGGTTTCTCATCTATCATGCTGTTGATCTCTTTTGTTGCACGAATTGTCATTGTTTACACTATTTATCTATTTTTTTTCTTCTTTTATTTATCTTTCGTTTTGTATCTAACACACAATCCGATATCACGATAGGATTGATGTTTTTGCCTGGCGGTGTTGACTAATATGGTTGATTTATATTGCAACATAAAGTTCTTGCTTTACATTGATTTATATTACGACATGATAATGATTTTGATGTGGATGATGTGGATGATGTCTGGTGATCATATTGATGGAAGTCATTGCTGCAGGATCGCTGTGGTATGGCGCAGTTGCACTGTGTCCCTGCATGGCGTGGTGCATGACGTTGCTGCATTGAGCTACTGCTTGAAGTTAATGCCCACGCGGTAAATGCCATCTGCTTCTTCGTTGCGAGTCAGCTGAGCGTTTGGTTTGTGTGTATATATATATATATATATATATATATATATATATATATATATATATATATATATATATATATATATATTTATATATATATATATATATATATATATATATATATATATATATATATGTATATATATATATATATATATATATATATATATATATATATATATATATATATATATATATGCATATATATATATATATATATATATATATATATATATATATATATATATACATATATATTTGTATATATAGATATATATTTACATATGTATGTATATATACACATACACACATATATATGTATATATGTGTGTGTGTATCTTTACATATGCATATATATGTATATATGTGTGTGTGTGTATCTTTACATATGCATATATATATATATATACACATATATATATATGTATGTATATATGTACGTATGTGTGTCTGCGTATGTATATATATATATATATATATATATATATATATATATATTTATATATATGTATGTATATATGTATGTATGTATGTATGTATGAATGTGTGCATACATGCACACGCACGTCGCCTGCGTGCAGACTTGCATACATTGGGTAAGTCAAACCCAGAGACGGTGGTGAGTGGTTCTATCGTCGATATGATGGTGGGCTGAGAACCACCAACAATGATTACCTAAACAACCACTCACTCACAACAACTCACTGGGGAAGGATCACTGCTCAGTCACCCCAGTTTAAAGAACCAGTCAACATGATGTCAACATGGCGCCAAGTAGTTCGTTAACCCTGTATCAGTGATGGCAAGATTATGAATAATATATATATATATGTAACACTAAGAGTCAACTAATCGCGTAGAGAATGAAGCTGAAAGACATTGGTATTCGAATCACAGTAGAAAGCTCTCAGTAGAAACCCGAGAGAAATATTTAGGAGAAATTTCTTCTGCTTACTGTGTTTATTGCTTGTCGGTCGCTGAGGTGGAGCCATACTTGGTTTTATTTTTATTCATGTTCCTTAATGTGGATAGTATATGCATGGACATGTGTTACTAAGGAATATATATATATATATATATATATATATATATATATATATATATATATATATATATATATATATATATATATATATATATATATATATATATATATATATATATATATATATTTATATATATATATATATATTTATATATATATATATATATGTACTATATATAAATATATATACATATGTATCTGATATCACTATCTAAATCTATATCTATATATATGCTTATATATATATATATATATATATATATATATATATATATATATATATATATATATATTTATACACACACATATATATATTGTGTGTGTGTATGTATATATATGATATATGTGTATATATATATATATATATATATATATATATATATATATATATATATTTATACACACACATATATATATTGTGTGTGTGTATGTATATATATGATATATGTATATATATATATATATATATATATATATATATATATATATATATATATATATATATATGATATATATATATGCATGTACATCATCAGGCAACTAAAATCTCAAGAGAAAAAGGTTACCTCATGCACGAAGAGCTTAATTACATCAAGGAAAATCCCACAGGCCACAGAAAACGCTGTCTTCTATTTTGATAACATCACCCTTAGCTTCCTGGGTTTCCCTGCGTTTTTCCGCCAAGTTTGCGTTCCGTTCGCACTTTGGTGACGTCACCAAAACGTCATCAGGAACTTGTGGTGATTTTTTTGTTCCGGGGTTGTCATGTTGTGTGGTAACTTTATCGGAATAACGTAGTATTTAACCGAAAATGTATTGTCTTTTGTTGAAGTGGAGTGAACTGGGGAAGGAAAAAAAAATAGAATCTAAACATTTAAATCTCAGCGTTGTTGCTGGAAAGGAAAAGAGTATAATAGAGCTGCAGCAAATACCGACGTTGGCAACTGAATATGTAGTTATATATAGGAGTTCGCTTCAATTTCGCCTTAGTGCATCCCAGTGAGTCCTACCTTTAAAACCTGTGGAAATACATGATGAGGTAGGTTGCTATAAGCCTGTTCTTTACCATCGGATAATTTGGTTTGAATAAGTGTTCATGTATATCCGTGACCTTGTCGAAACTGCGTCTTAGAGTATTCAGGTTATAACCTTGCGTGTCCGGTTCTAAACTAGTTCTCCTTTGCCTTCGTAAAGTACCGAGTAAGAATAACAGTAATGATAACGATAATAATGGTAATGATAATGAAATAGACATGGATAAAATGGTGATTGCATGGCTGTCCAAAGTGCTCCGGGGTAATGGCGTCTTGGTCGGGATCTTCCGCTCATCTAAATGCTGTGTTCAGGGCAGGACTAAAGACGGCTGTGCGGTTGCCTGCGTTGCGATTTATAGCTGTGTGTGTGTTTGTGTGTGTGTGTTTGTGTGTGTGTGTGTGTGTGTGTGTGTGTGTGTGTGTGTGTGTGTGTGTGTGTGTGTGTGTGTGTGTGTGTGTGTGTGTGTGTGTGTGTGTGTGTGTGTGTATGTGTGTGTGTGTGTGTGTGCTTGTGCTTGTTTGTGTATGTGTGCGTGCGCGTGCGTGAGTCGCGCACGTGTGTTGCGTCTATGCGTGAGTGTACGTGTGAATACTCATGATTATTTATATCCTTGTCATTTCCGGAACTCTTTAAAGATGACAAGGAAGACTTGATATTTGATAAACTGTTTGTTATGTGGCTTTTGTTATTTTTCTAGGTAGATTAGAATTTGGCTCGCTTGCTGTTGGCGATATACTGACTCTTTTATAATAATTTTATCGTTTTCAGTGTTTCTCATTACACTTCCACTAAACACACTTAACTAAGTTCACACGCGCAGATATAGATATACAAAGACATTGCAATCATCCATAAAAGCAAACAGTATATAGGTTCTCCCACAAGACCCACACACTGTACAAAAAATAGTGACAATGATGACAGTGATGACGATAAAACAATATATATATTTTTTTCCTTTTTTTGTCTTTTGGCGCCGCAGACTCGGTTCGGGTTTACAAGGACACTGTTGCCAACTCGGGCCTACCACAAGGATTCTTACTTGGCAGTGTTACCACATACATAATTTTACGAGTATTTTTATTATTTATTTATATTTCTTTGTCTGTTTCCTCTCTCTCTCTCTCTCTCTCTCTCTCTCTCTCTCTCTCTCTCTCTCTCTCTCTCTCTCTCTCTCTCTCTCTCTCTCTCTCTCTCTCTCTCTCTCTCTCTCTCTCTCTCTTCTCTTTCCCTCTCTCTCTCTCTCTCTCTCTCTCTCTCTCTCTCTCTCTCTCTCTCTCTCTCTCTCTCTCTCTCTCTTTCTCTCTCTTTCTCTTTCTCTTTCCCTCTCTCTCTTTCTTTTCTCTTATTATTTGTCGCGGCTTTGGTTTCTTGTGATGATGATGGTGATGATTGTTATAGTAATAATAATAATAATGATAATAATATTATTATCATTATTGTTATTATTACAATTATTATAATTATAATAATCAGTGTTATTGTATTAATTATTTTTATTCTTCTTCTTCTTCGTCCGCTTGTTATTATTATTTTATTATTATTATTGTTGCTATTGTTATTATTATTATTATTATTATTATTTGTTATTATTATTATTATTATCATTATTATTATTATTGTTATTAGTATTATTATTGTTGTTGTTGTTTTTGTTGTTGTTATCATTGTTATCATTGTTATTATTATTATTGTTGTTTTTGTTATTATTATGATTATCATTATCATTATTATTTTATTATTATTATTATTATTATTATTATTAGTAGTAGTAGTAGTAGTAGTAGTAGTAGTATATTATTATTATTATTATTATTATTATTATTATTATTATTGCCATTATTATTATTGTTACTGTCATCACCCACATATTATCATTATTGTTGTTGTTGATGGTGATGCTTTTCTTGAAAGTATTCTAGATCATTAAAAGGTTAATAACACTACAGTTAAGATCACTTTACATGCACCATGAGTTCTCTACCTTAGTAAAAGCTATAAATAACATCAAAGTTCAAGAAAACATTATATACGATGTACGTGCTGCCCTCGTTAGCTAACGTAGTCAGAATACAATCTGTAAAGAAAACCAGTTACTAGATGCGATTAATAATATAACCGACCCTCTGTATATAGAATAGGTTCTCTCTCTCAGTCGAAACGATTCACAGCATGATAAATAAAGACAACTTCGAAAACGTGGTATTTGGTCCTCCTATACGAGACTAGACAGCGTTTAGACGGGTAGGGCGGCCGGCTGGCCTTGGGCGACGCTGCTGAGGCCAACTCTGCTCGGTTACAGCCTCTGCCTTTGAGTGCGGAAGAAAAAGAAGGAAGGAGGGATTTTTTCTCGTTATTAGCTCTTTGTTATCTGTTTATTAATTTTCTGATATTATATAGATTAACCTATCTATCTATCTGTCTATCTAACTGTCTATCTGTATGTCTGTCTGTTTATCTGTCTATGTGTGTGTGTGTGTGTGTATGTGTGTGTGTGTGTGTGTGTGTGTGTATGTGTGTGTGTGTGTGTGTGTGTGTGTGTGTGTGTGTGTGTGTGTGTGTGTGTGTGTGTGTGTGTATGTGTGTGTGTGTGTGTGTGTGTGTGTGTGTGTGTGTGCGCGCGCGTGTGTGCGCGCGCGTGTGTGCGTGTATATATATATATATATATATATATATATATATATATATATATATATATATGCATATGACACAATGCCAAATATCAAGAAATAAGTCTACCAAGGTAAAAACTTATAAATGAAAAACATCTTCCCTCGTCTGCCCCCCCCCCCCCTCTGCTACTACGTCGTACCGGCCACACTGTACAGATGAGACAGGAGCTGGCGCGGACAGTTAAGCATAACTTGTCCAAAATCTTCCTATTCCTGAAATCGCTGACCTAGAACGAAGACCGAAAATGTGGGTGATGGTCGTGCACTTAGTTTAATTATACTGTCGCACCTGGTAGTATAGTAAGTTCGATCCGTCCAGTAGCAAGGCTGTAGGACACTCATCCTTTGTAACTCATGGCATCCGAAACGAAATATTTATCATTATCTGTCATGGTGATCATCGCCGCCACTACTATTATCGTTATCATCATCGTCGTCGTCGTTACCACCGCCCCCGCCCCCAACACCGCCATCACTACTACGAACATCAGTGTCACTGTCATCATCATCACAGCCGCCAGCACCACCTCCACCATCACCACGACCGCCGCCATCGCCACTACAACCGCCACCACGACCACTTCCTTCCCTCTATCGCATGCAACCCACGATCACACATCGCACTCAGCTTTCTTAAACAACGTTCGATTCCCTTTTAAGCATTCATATGGTCACAGAGAACTAGTTCCGGGGGATTTCAACTCTTTCGGGTAGTGATCCAATTTCCTTCTTCCGACCGGTTTCACGCCAATTATTTTAAATGTTCATGTAACGGAAAGAAATGCAAACATGTGAAGGGTCAGTGCGTTAACCCAGTCCTCTTAACCTAGTCTGTTGGCCTGAGGCTAGAAGGGCAATAACCCAGAGTGAGCGTAAACAACAAGTGTCTAAATCCTGTGTCAGACTGGTAGTTCGGAGAACGATAAAATGTATATATATTCGATGTTGTCTAAAAACCTGGCATCGATGAAACAGCAATAATAACAAACGATATTGCAACACCTGGAAGTATCTTGAATCTCATTTTATGTAACACCCACGTTGCATAATTTACGCAAATTCCTGTAGGCTTTTGCATCCCTTTCTTCAATATACCCTGTTTTTTCATCAAGAGCAATATATTTTGATGATCGCAAAACTTCATAAGTACGGATATGGATAAAAATACAAATAAATAAAGAAATATAAACTCATTGCAACGCGCTACGTTAAGGAACTCTGGACGCCTAGTAGCCTACTGATTACGGCGTACCTACAAAGTATATTTCCTCTTGTTTATCTATCTATATCTACATTACTACTTTTCTCTCTCTCTCTCTCTCTCTCTCTCTCTCTCTCTCTCTCTCTCTCTCTCTCTCTCTCTCCCTCTCTCTCTCTCTCTCTCTCTCTCTCTCTCTCTCTCTCTCTCTCTCTCTCTCTCTCTATATATATATATATATATATATATATATATATATATATATCAATCTCTCTCTATCTATCTATCTATCTATCTATCTATCTATCTATCTCTATCTATCTCCCTCTCCCTCTCCCTCCCTCTCTCTCCCTCTCTCCCTCCCTCTCTCTCCCTTCCTTTATCTCCCTCCCAGTGTGCTGTGTGGTGCAGCGGTAGCAATCTCGTCTAGCAATCTAGCTGAGCTGCGTTCAAATCCCTCGCCGCCAGTGGATGGTAACCCCTGCCATTCCTTGCACAGAGGGGATAACTTAGAAGCAAAATGAAACAGACGGCATGTCACACCAAGAACTTCCATTGTCAAAAAAATGGAATCAAACTAAACCTTAAACCTCTCTCTCTCTCTCCCTCTCCTTCCCTCTCCCTCCCTCTCTCTCCCCCCCCCTCTCTCTCTCTCTCTCTCTCTCTCTCTCTCTCTCTCTCTCTCTCTCTCTCTCTCTCTCTCTCTCTCTCTCTCTCTCTCTCTCTCTCCTCTCTCTCTCTCCCTCTCTCTCTCTCTCCTCTCTCTCTCTCTCTCTCTCTCTCTCTCTCTCTCTCTCTCTCTCTCTCTCTCTCTCTCTCTCTCTCTCTCTCTCTCTCTCTCTCTCTCTCTCTCTCTCTCTCTCTCTCTCTCTCTCTCTCTCTCTCTCTCTCTCTCTCTCTCCCCCTCTCTCTCACTCTCTCTCTCCCTCTCTCCCTCTCTCCCTCTCTCTCTCTCTCTCTCTCTCTCTCTCTCTCTCTCTCTCTCTCTCTCTCTCTCTCTCTCTCTCTCTCTCTCTCTCTCTCTCTCTCTCTCTCTCTCTCTCTCTCTCTCTTAATTCGACATCCATCCATTCCACTGCAGGACCTAAGCCTTTCTTAGTTCATTGCTTAAGATTGTTTGGCACAACTCGCCTGTTTGATTGGATTTCCGTCCTAATGAACCTCGGTCAATCAGTCTATTTGTCTATCCAACTATCTATCTATCCATCTACTCTTCTTTTCATTCACTCCTCTCAAATTATTTACATCTGAATGTTCCTGTACATAAATAGACATAATTGTAAGCATATTTTATATTACGATTGTGAGGTAATTATGAAGCTTTAACTTTCTACGTGACTGATCAAGATCCAATTGCAGGGCGTGGGCGTGTGCGTTAGCTGTGGTCGTCGTGTCTGCGTTGGTGGGCGGCCAGAACAGCCAGGACGTGAGGCTAGGGCTCGTGGCGTCTCAGCTGGGTGTCCAGCCCGTTCCAGGAAGCCAGACAGGTGAGTTTTGCTTCTTGCATGGTGGTGGGGGGGGGGGCTTCTCTGTATCTCTCTGGCAGTCTTCATGTCTCATGTTTTTTTTTTAAATATTTTGCCGTTCTCTCTCTCTCTCTCTCTCTCTCTCTCTCTCTCTCTCTCTCTCTCTCTCTCTCTCTCTCTCTCTCTCTCTCTCTCTCTCTCTCTCTTTCAGAATTCCGAACAAAGTGAAGAGAGAAAAACGCAATAAAAGACCAAATTTCTCAATAGAAACACACTCCGACGTAACGATTGGAAAATCCTTCATTTTTTTTTCTAAATGAAGTCAAATGCAGTAACTTGGATGAGGAGGGAATCCTGTTTCCTCAGTCAGTGAATTCAGTGAGTTCACATTTTTTTAATCGCACGCAATAACTTTTAAAAAAATACTTTCTGTTTCTCTAACATCAGTTTGTAAACCTTAGCGAAATGAAATTCTTCATCTTTATAGAATATATGTAATGATAATGAGAATGATCATAATGACAATGATAATAGTAATATTTTTTATGATAATAGTAATAATAATTATGATGATGATAATTTTGATGATGATAATAAAAAAGTAATTATAATGATGATAATAATAACAATAGTAATAATAATAGAGATAATAATAACAATAACAGTAATAATAATGATAAAATTAATAATAATAATAATGATAATAGTAATAATAATAATTATGATAATGATGATAATAATAATAATAATGATAATAATAATAACAATAATAATAATGATGATGATGATGATGGTGATAATGATGATAATAATGATAATAATAATGATAGTAATAATAATAACAATGATAATAATGATAATAATAATAATACTGATAATGATAATAATAATAATAGTAATAATAATAATAATAATAATAATAATAATAATAATAATAATAATAATAATAACAACAACAACAATGATAATGATGATAATGATAGTAATAATAGTAAAAATAATGATAATAATGATGATAATGATGACAGTATTAATAGTAAGAGGGATAAACATAGTAATGAAATAATAATGACTGATGATAATAATAATGATAATAATAATGATAGTAATAATAATAATAATAATGATAATAATAATAATAATAATAATAATGATAATAATAATAATAATGATAATAATAATAACAACAACAACCACATTTTGTACCTACCTTACAGGTCAGCAGATAGGTAACCAGATCGCAGGACCTCAGAGATGTATCTGTCTCCCCGTGAACCAGCGGTGCATCTACGACGGCGGCTCAGGCACGACGACTGGCGCAGGAGTCTTTGATGTCAGGATCGTGAACAGGGTGAGGTCATTTAACGATGTCTTGGTAGGTGTAGGCTGTTTGACAGGTATTTTTTGAAGGTTAAAATTGGTAGTCTTGTCAGTTCAGCTTAAGGGTCGATGGTGAAATGAGGCCTTGGAACGATGTCAGTGATGTCACTCTTAGACGTAACAGCACGATGTTTTAACAGCTGTTCTTAAGGGCTTGTTCTTGAAGGATAGGAATGGAGATTTTCTTTGTGGATAACACTGAAAGTTACTTCAGTGAACGCCTTCGCGAACTTATTTCTTATCTTTCTACTAGTTCTTCCAGATCCTTTTATCAGCTTAGTCCTTGCGCATCTAATTTCCTACCTACTTCTTCCGTATCTTTTAATCTTATTTCCTGTGTCCCTTTCTCCCAACCAGCCCGGAGCAGGCGGAGAGTGTGGCATCCCGGGGCAGAAGATATGCTGTCCCCCAGGTGTCAGACCCGCGGGGCCAGTCCGCCCTCCGCCCGTCGCCCCCCAGCCTGTGCCCATTCAGCGTTCGGGCTGCGGCTCCCAGAACCCCATTCCGTACAGACAGGCACAGTATGCTGAGGTATGGAGAGTCTGCTGTCGTGTTCGTTTGGTATCGGGGTGTTGTGGAATGTGCTTTGTGTTTGTGCGTATTTGTGTTTGGATTTATTTAAGAATTAAGAGATCCTGCTTTTAGTATTCTTTCTTTTTTAATTTTCTGTTTCTCTCGCCTCTTTTTGGCAGTGTTTTCACGCTTAATGAAACGAGGTCACAAATACAATAACGTGAGCACAATTAAATGAAAGGCGTCCTAGTAAGGAGGAATATGGTACACCTCTTGTCAAAGTTTCATCCCAGGTTTTTAATTTTTTTTTCCTCCCTTTCCTTCTGTTTAAATTTATCCTGTAGGGTTAACTGTCACTCCCTTACACCCTTACCTCCTTGCTCCCGCCCTCGCCGCCCACTCTCACCCTCTCCCCCCTCCCCGACAGGCGACCTTCGGCGAGTACCCTTGGATGGTGGTCGTCCTGGACTTCGGTGACGGCTACAAGGGCGGCGGAGTCCTCGTCGCCCCCGACTGGGTCCTCACCGCTGCTCACAAAGTTTACAACGAGAGGTAGTGTTTTAGTGTATTGTTTTGTATGTATTTTGTGTATTGGTGTATTGGGTTTTGATTTCTGTGCTCTTGGTTTCGTTTCTGCATGCGTTTACCCGTTTCACTTGTAGGTTCATGTGATTATATTTTTTTACTGACATGTGTTCACTCGTTTCCTTATTCATATATTAACTCATTTGGACTAGTGGTTGATTGATTTGTATTCTGTATATCATTTATTCTTTGGATTCACAGATTTATTTTTGAACAGGCATTGCATTTATGATTATTGAAATTATTGTTATCTTTATAAAATGGGTTTAGATCTTTAGTTTAAGATTATTTTTCTCGATAAGCTCTTCTTGTCTACAATTGTTCTTCCTCCTTCTCCTTCCTTCCTCTCCATCAACTTCCTCACAACCCTAATCCACTCCCACTATTCACCTCTTCCCCCCTCCCTGCTCTTCCTTCTTCTCCTTCGTTCCCCTCCACCATCACCATCATTAATCCCTTTCTCCTCCCTCCGTCTGCCCCCACCAGGAGCCTCAAAGTCCGCCTGGGCGAGCACAACGTCCGTCAGCGTCAGGATCACCCCAACTACGCCCACCTCGAAGTCCCGATTGATAGGATCATCATTCACCCCAATTTCGACAACCAAGCTCTCCTCAACGACGTGGCTCTGCTGCACCTCGCCCAGCCGGTCAACGTGAATCAGTACCCGCATATAGGGACGGCGTGTTTGCCTTCCCCTCGCCAGATCTTCAATGGGCAGACGTAAGTTGGTGGATGTGGTTGTATTTGTGTGTGTGAGTTTGCTATTGATTTTGTTTGTTTGTTTTTATATTTATGTATATCAATTTTGGTTTAGTTTGTCATTTCGTGGTTGTCGTGTTCAAGACGTTGACGTAAATTTTTGCGTGCATATTGATAAGGAAGTGTTGTCACTATTTATCATGGTATCCTCGAGACAAGCTTGAGGAATGAAATGTATTTCCCTTCACACATGAGAATACTTTCTTGATTCCTCGTGTTAACCACCAACTTTACGTGGCACAGGTGCTGGGTCACCGGCTGGGGCAAGGACGCCTTCCAGACAAACGGCAATTTCCAAGAGATCCTGAAGGAGGTGGACGTCCCCATCGTCGACCCGTTCCGGTGCCAAGCTAGCCTCCAGCAGACGCGCCTCGGACCCTCCTTCAGCCTCAACCAGCAGTCCTTCATCTGCGCTGGAGGAATCGCCGGCAAGGACGCTTGCACGGTCAGTCTCGGTTTTCTTCCTCTTCCTCTTCCATACCGCTTCATTCTTTTCCTCCTCCTCTTTCTTCTTCTTATTCTGCTCATTCTCTTCTTCTTCTGCTCATTCTCTTCTTCTTCTTCTTCTGCTCATTCTCTTCTTCTTCTTCTTCTTCTTCTTCTTCCTCCTCCTCCTCCTCCTCCTCCCCCTTCTCCTTTTCCTCCTCCTCCTCCTCCTCCTCCTTTATTTTTTTTTCTTTGCCCCTTTCACTTTAAATCATCCCATATCCTACTTATAGTGCAGCCAAATATGTCACATTTATATTTAGATTAGTTTTCTTTGTGACTCTCCCCTTCATTTTATAACCCTAAATGTAAGAATGTTTAACATAATATTCCCTTTTTTCTATACAGGGTTATTCCTACCCAGTTTACTCGTGACCGAAAATCACGACTTTCAGATCCTTTTTTTCTCTTACTCAAGGCTTAAAGTCGTGCTCATGACTTTAATTCTATTTTTTGTTATCCTCACGATTAAAAATCCTATTTTCCCGTTTTATTCAGGACTTTCCCCTCTCACTCATGCCTTAAAATCCTTTTTTTTTCTTTAAACCCACACCTAAAATCCCCATTTTCCCCTCTTACTCATGATTTGAAATTCTCTTTTCCCCTTTTACTCATTACCTCAATTCCTCCCCCCCCCCCTCTTACTGAGAACCCTCTTTTTTCCTTTACACCCATTCCTAAATTCCCCATTCTGCAATCTTAATCATGCCTAGAAATACTCTTTTTTTTTCTTTTAGCTTTATACCCATGCTCAAATTCCCCGTCCTTCCCTCCAACTCATGCCTGAAAGCCGTCTTCTTCCCCCCCCCCAACAGGGCGATGGCGGATCTCCCTTAGTATGCCCCACGCAGAACGGGTGGACTGTCGTCGGCCTCGTAGCCTGGGGTATCGGGTGCGCCCAGGGTAACGTCCCAGGAGTCTACGTCAACATACCCAACATGATGGACTTTATTGGGCAATACGTGAGGTGAGGGAATTTATTTTGTTCATTTCATTGATTCGTTGGTTTATTTGTTGATTGGTTGATGGATGAAAAGATAAGGGTTGTTCCTTCGCCAGCACTTATGTCAAATCAAATCTTCTCCTGGTGTTTTTAATGTTCTTAATAGATAGATGGATTAAAGGGTTAGTGATAGTTATTTGTCTCATTAATACCTGGATTAAATAGCCTTTTTATTTACTGTAGAAAAAATATTAGTTTATGTTTACCTATTCGATATGTGAAGTAAAGATTCCACGTATTTGTATTTGTTATTTCTTACTACGTTGTTTTCAGTATATTGTAGTTTTAAATAAGAATATTGCTTGAATTCAATGTGCCTGTTTAGATACTAACAACGTTTTCTTTTTATGCTTGCAGATATTAGAAGGAAGGGCCCACAAGATCAACCCCTCTCTACAAAACAAACTACTGAAACATTCCATCTATGTGTACATACCCCTAAACATATAAATAATTATAATAATAGTTGAAAAAAACGATGATTGTGATTCCTGGTTAATGTTTACTTATTCGAGTACAAATTTACCAGGAAATTCGAGGGATACGTGTGTATTTCTTTACGAGTAAGATGAAGTTACCCTCACTTTCACTAATACATTTGTACTTTTTACAGAAAAATAATCTAAATGGGGATGGATGAAATGACATATTTATTTTCCTCAGGGTGTGAGTAACTTTTTAAAACAAAATGAAAGAAAAGAAAGTATTTTTTCTCCTGTGGCGTCCTCTTTATGGTGCCGATAAGATTGAAAGTGTTTACATAAAACTTCAGGCGGGATGAATGATTTCTATTACTACTTCTGTGATGTTATTCTTTTGTTTTTAACCTATGATGGTGCAATAAATTACGTATTATTTTTTTGGTCTCTCTCTCTCGTCCTTCCTTCCTTAGAAATAGATTATGTTCAAATAAAGAGAAAAAATGCATAAACAGTATGTGTATTTCTTTATTTCTTTCACATCTGAGATATTATAGATTGTATTTCGTGTCTTCTTCTTTGCTCTAACATATTTTTCAACAGATATTTAATAATTAATAATTACACGAGGCTGTCTAACACAATGTTTAATTATCACACGAAGCTATTTGTTTTACTCACGCTGTAGTCTTTGGTTTCAGCGGCTTAATGATACTCACACAAGGGGACTGTCATGAAATTGATACAATTCCCGTTTTCTATTTAGTGTTGCACAGAGGCAAAGGTACTGTAGAGCTTTTTACATGAGCGGCCAAGGTGGGGGGGTGGGGGTAGGTCTCACAAGGAGCGATGGAAAAATATATATAGCATATAATATTATACGTATTAGGGAACGATGATATAAATAAATTGAAGCTATCATTGAAGATATATATAGTTTGTTTTAGTGACTAAAGCAGTTTGTTGACCCCATGTTTGGGAATTAGCTGGGGGGAGGGGGAGGGGGGGCGCGTACCTCTCCTGTGTGGAAGCGCCATTATACTGAAGTATTCTAGATATTATTTTCTCTGTGGAAGGATATACAAAGGAATAATCAATGTTTCTAGTTTACTTCACCGCAATACAAAATAATAATAGTAATAATAATAATAATTCATATTTGTATGAAGTGAGGTAATATCACAGGGATCATAAAAATGGATGTTCTCTCTTCGTACGAAAAGTTCTCGGCTTAAATTTCTTTGTAACATCCATCAAGTGTCTTCGTTTAGTCGTCGGTGTATCAGAACCTGAGGCGAGAAATAGTTTGTAAATAGAGAGTATTTATGGTTATACTGTTTTGTCCATTCAGTTTTTTTTTAAATAAGCGTTCAAGGACCTTCGTTTTTTTATGCATTTTTTCAGCAACGTGTGTGTTTCAAAGTAACGCTAGAATATTCAAACTGTATCAAAGAAATAATAAACAACTCCCCTCCCCCCTAAAAAGTGTGTGTGTGGGGGGGAGATAAGAGGAGACAAGCGAACTTTCTTTCCCAAAGAACCGCAGCAACAACGGTGAAGATAACATCAAACTCACTACCAGTAACAACGGTAAAGATAACACGTCATTCACTGCCACTTACCTTACAAACTGCCGGATGAAGTTGGCATAAGAGGCAACGTTGACATAGACACCTGGAACTTCCCTCTGAGCGCAGCCAAGACCCCAGGCAACCAAGCCAACCAGTGTCCAGCTCCTGTCTTCGTTCTGACACACAAGAGGAGACCCGCCATCGCCCTGGAAATTTTGCGCGGGAAAATGAAGAACAGCTGTTGAACTTGTTGAAAAATTGATTTTGTTGTTTTTCTCTCATTATATTTATATGTTTCCGTTATTTTTTCTCTTTCTGTTTTTTTTTTTTTCCTAAATCTGACCCTCTCTCGTCTTTCATCTTGTTCTTCTCTCTCTTTCTCTTTCTCTCTCTCTCTCTCTCTCTCTCTCTCTCTCTCTCTCTCTCTCTCTCTCTCTCTCTCTCTCTCTCTCTCTCTCTCTCTCTCTCTCTCTCTCTCTCTCCCTCCCTCTCTCTCTCTCTCTCCTCTCTCTCTCTCTCTCTCTCTCTCTCTCTCTCTCTCTCTCTCTCTCTCTCTCTCTCTCTCTCTCTCTCTCTCTCTCTCTCTCTCTCTCTCTCTCTCTTTCTCTCTCTCTCAGGACCCATAGCCCTAGGACTCACGGTGCATGCGTCGTTCCCTTCAACTCCCCCAGCGCAGACGAAGGACGTTTGGTCGAGGGTGAAGTTGGCTCCGAGGCGGGCGGCTCCGAGGCGTTGCTGGCAGGCGAAGGGGTCGACCATCGGGACCTCGACCACGCGGAGAACATTCTGGAAGGTGTTGCCGGGGATGGTCGGGTCGCCGCCCCAGCCCGACACGGCGCATCTACGGATGGGGGTAGGAAGGGGTTGCTTGAGAGGGCTTATTGTTTGTGGTTTATTTGTCTGTCAGTGTGTTCGTCTATATGTTAATTCGTTGGTTTGTTTATCTGTTTATCTTGTTTTTTGGAAGATATCGAGATAATGTCCTTTGAAAGTTTGCTTTATAAGACCTTAAATAACACGTATCCATTCTGACCTCTGTGAAGCTCACCCCAAAAAGTTTGAGATCATTCGCTTCAATCCTTGGATCAACTGACACCCGTGAAGATGAATCCCAAAAGGTCAACCATATCTCCTCCAACCAAGAGCAGACCACCGAAAGGTCACTCAAACATCCTCAAACAGCTTAATTTAATGAAGAGCTGACCCAAGTAAAGACCCAAGGCCCTGTAATGCTCAAAAGGTCAACAGATTTTTCCTCATTATGCAATAATGACCCTCACGAAGACCACGGCCAAAAAGCGAATTGGTTAAAGAGCTGACACCACCCCCGCCCACCGTAAAACTCCTCCCCGAAAGGCAGAACAGACTCACTTCCGCCCCTGGAAGATCTGGCCCTGAGAAGGCAAGCAGACGGTGCCGATATGCGGAACAGTCCCAGCGCGGACAGGTCGGGAGAGGTGCAAGAGAGCGACGTCGTTGGCGAGGGTCTGGGAGTTGAACTGCGGGTGCA